CGAGCCTTGCAGATCGCGTCGCCTTGGATCCGACAACATCTGACTCGGATCTTCAATCAGAGCCTATCACTTGGGTACTGCCCGCAGCACTTCAGGAACTCTACAACGATCGTCATACGAAAACAAGGGAAAGACGATTACACAATCCCCAAATCATACAGACCCATCGCTCTACTGAACACGATCGGCAAGGTCATGGATGCCATCATTGCCACGAGACTGAGCTACATAGCAGAGACATATCAACTGCTTCCTGCGACCCATATGGGAGGCCGGAAGCTGAGATCCACGGAACACGCGCTGCACTACATTATCGAGAAAATATACGATGCCCCCTCTCCCCCATCCTCTACCTCTTCTACAATGCCGACCTGCTAGACAGATGCAACCAAGCCGACGACACGGCGGCGACAGGCTTCATCGACGACGTGGCAATACTGGCGGGCCAACACCACAGAGGAGACATGCAAACTGCTGCAAACGGCACTCCACGAGGCAGAAGACTGGGCTTCTAGCCACGCATCCGTATTTGCACCGGACAAATTTCAGCTCACGCACTTCACAAGGGCAAAGTCTAGAATCGACACCAGGACACCGTTACAAACCAGATGGGGTGAGATCAAACCTAAACCCACATGCAAATATCTGGGCTTGATAATGGACAGCCAACTACGATGGAGGCAACACATCGACGAGATAGAGCGAAAGGTGTCTGGGACAATCGCGGCGCTCAGCTGCCTCGGAAACTCCGCTTGGGGAGTCCGAACGAAGGAGATGCGCACCATCTACCGAGGAGTAGCCGTCCCACAAATGATGTATGCATGCTCAGCCTGGTCCAACGCGGATTGGGCTGGTAGGGGTTACACAGACAAGACACTGCGAAAGATGCAGAAGTTACAAGGTAGAGCGGCCAGGGTTATGAGTGGTGCGTACAAAGCAACGTCGCTGCCCGCACTCGACATCGAGATGCACTTACTTCCTGTCGAGCAACAAATATGGAAACATAACATCGAGGCGCTGGGGCGAGCCAAAGCACCACCGCCGAGACTACCCAGATCAGTGCCATCGAGACGCACGAAGATAACCCCCCGCGAAGCAATCCTCAAAACGATCGAAGACAACAATGGGCCAAACATGCGAACGCAGGAACAGATAGAACCATTTGTCGCACCGCCATGGTGGCAAGGACCACAGACCTACATTGACGAGACGGCAGAAGGCGCTCGCAAAAAGCACTTGGCTCTCCTGAGACGGGAAACAGCTGCTCTCCACATATACACAGACGGAAGCGGCATCAACGGCCAGATCGGGGCGGCAGCAGTGTGCTCGACAATACAGCAGACGCGAAGCGCGTACATGGGGACCGAGGCTACCTCGACTGTCTACGCCGGCGAATTGCAAGGCATTTCGCTAGCACTCGATATCGCACAGCAAGACCGTGCCGAGGGATACCGCCGAAGCAAAGTCCTGATCTACACCGACAACCAAGCAGCCATCCGGTCTTCAGCCAAGCCCAAAGGCAAGCCTGGGGCTTATCTGTTGAAGAAAATCGTCTCACAGGCAGCAGCACTTCAGGAACAAGACCTACCGATCGAAATACGATGGATCCCAGCGCACACCGGGGTACAAGGCAATGAAGAGGCAGACAGAGCCGCCAAAGAAGCCACGGGTTGGCGAGTGAGGGGACCAGCAGGCCCGCGCGCGCAGATGCCCGCAGAGCTCTATACTCTTCGATCCACGCTGAAGACGTGGGCTCACAGAGAAGCCAACAAAACGTGGACAACACAATGGGCGGCGGAGAAACGAGGCAGGACCACGTTCGATACACGCCCAAGCCAACCGAAAGGGTCCTGCGACTACACGACGGGATGAACAAGCGCCAGAGCGCACTCCTCGTGCAAATGAGAACAGAGAAAATCGGACTCAACGACTTCCTCTTCAACCGAAGAGTACCAGAAGCCACGGACGCCAGCTGCCCATGCCGGGAAGGACGCCAAACGGTATCGCACGTCCTGCTGCGATGCCGCAAGTATCGACAACTCCGGCGCCAGGAACTAGGCCACCTTCCAGGACGACACGACCTCCGGGGCATATTGAACGAGCGCAAAGCAGCCGCGAAAGCCACCAGGTTTATGGAACTGACAGAGATCCTTGGGCAATTTCGGATCGAGTCCCAAACCAGACAAAGCTAGGCATTGGGGGGAGACTGTAGGTATGAGGACCCGAGACATGAGGCGAATCGCTTCAACAGAGCCTGTACACGATGAGCATTAGTAGAGAACCACGTTCTACACGACGAGACCAGCCACGGGTAGAGTGAGGTTGAGGAGCAAAGCGGGAATTTTGGGGGCAGCTGGTTGGTGTTTACATTGGCGAAGTGGGGCGGCCGGATTAACAACCAGTCGCGTCGGCTGCCTGCCAGACCCCGCTCACCGGGCATGGCTGCGGATAAATTTAGCGGCTACAACCGAGTAGGAATACAGTTCAGTTCAGTTCAGTCCAGGTCCACACGAGCAATCATTAACTCGGCACCCTCGGGTAAAGTCCACTGCGAGTCGCTAGTCTGATGAGTGGTTCCCCGCCCGCAACTGGATCCGATGGTGACCCAACACTCGCTGGCTTAAAGGATTGGCCACTTGCTCCAACCACTCGACCACCGAATCTCCAAGCAACTCGTCAATCTCAAGCCTCAACCGCCAGACGAAGGTCAACACCCAGCCGCCACCATGCGTTTCCAACTTCTGTCTCTGCTGCCCCTCGTTGGGCAAGCTCTTGCCATCCTGCAGCCCAACTACACCACAAGCGCGGGTGTCTCCATCTACAACCCTGGCGACTTTTTCACCACGACCGGGCCATGGAGTCTGATGTCCCATGCCGGCGAAAGCCTGTATATTGCCGGTTCGTGCCTATCAGCCTGCCAACTGGTTGAAACACAGACAAATCCTAACCCGTTGACCATGTAGGCATGCGCGGCATTGATCCCGCCACCAACGCTCTGGCGTCCGTCGGTCTCCCGCGTGTGCGCCAGGCGTACAAGAACATGGCTGCACTCGCCAAGATGGTGGGTGTGGACCTCAAGGACTGCGTCCGGATCGTCGTCTACACAACCGATATGTACAGGTACCGCCCGATGTGCAACCAGGTGCAGGTCGAGCTCTGGGGCAACAATCCCAATACCTACCCGCCCCGGACGATTATCGAGGTGGACCGCCTGAACGACGATGACATTGTGGAAGTCGAGGGCACGTTCCACGCGCCAGGTCTGGGCAAGGGTAAGGGCAAGTGCTGAAATCTGAGCAATTCAGCACCGATCAGCCGCGTCCAGTTGGGAGCCATAATCCCACTGGTGGATCTATAAGAGCAGGGCTCTGGCCCGCTCCGAGGACTCTGCGTGATTACGTGATCGACCACAGCATACGCTGCGGCACGTCTGCCGCATGGCAATTCAGGTTCGTCGCGATTTGGCGGAAGCCGTGTCAACCCAGAGCTTAGACACACAATACCAGCATGTCATCGCCCTATACCAAGAACAGGTCTATCGTATGAACTCCCAAATATCGAGAGTGCCAAGTGGCGATGATCCGGCAGCATTAACCATCATTCACACCATCATCTGGTCCGACCATTCCCCCTGGGCCTGGGGTGATAAGCGTACGGATCGTCATTGAATGGACTCGCTTAAACCTGTCAGAATGCGAGACTTATCAGGACCCATGATCTTAGGACACTCGGGGGATGGTTGGATTCCCCTGCAAACTCTCGTTGTCCCTCCGAGACCATTCCCAAAGCTTGGCACTAAGTGCCGCCACGGCTAGCCTATATCAGCTAGGACAGTGGCTTACCTTAAGGCTTCGTGTTTCGAGGGCATTAAGCCACACAGCCTGCTCATCTCATCATGCAAACGGCCAAGTCCTGTCGTCCCAATCACCAGATTTCTACATGGGCAAAAGGGACATCAGGTCTCCCCCCGTTGCGGGCTGGCGCACCGGGACATACGGCATGGGGAGACCATGGTTGCCGAAAACTGGATTCCGTGGACTCTAGCATCAACCCCCGTTTGCTAGTTCGTCAGAGGCAAGTCTAAGGAGCTGCTCCTACAAGTTTGCCCCATTGCGGAATCGCTGACCCCAACTCTTGATTTTCTCTTGGTCTGCCCTGATTTGCGTGTTCGTTATGCTGGCTGAGGGTCTCGTTTCGTTCGTCTCCCTTCCATGCAGTAGGGATGGCCGAATCAAAACCGATCGACCATGTTATCGCTATTCCGACCTTCATCGGGTCGCTGCTGTCCTTCTTGGGTTCTGCGACGGCGCTGGTGTTCCAGATCGCGCGTCCCCCGCGGCATCACTTCAGGCATTCGCTAATCGTCAATCTTCTGCTTGCTGGTACGTAAAAACCATAATTTTGATCGGATCTTTGGTACATCGCGTTTATTTCCTGGCGCTGTATGTAATAGATTTCGTCTACGGCCTCGGCAACACCATCTCCGGAGCGACCTTTCTCATTCGCGGTCGCACACCGAGTCCGCTGTCCGCGCCGGATACAGCATGCCGCGTCAGTGGCTGGTTCAGCCAGTCGGATGCTCAAGCTGTCGACTTTAACATCCTGATCATTTCAATTGTCGTTTTGATGTCCGTTCTCAAGAAGGACTCAATCGCGCATCTGTCTATGAACTGGCAGATCGTCATCTGCATCTCAGCTTGGATACCCGGCTTCATCACCGGTACGATCTATTTGTTCTGTCCATCAAAACCAAAGATCTTCAATGTAGCTGACCGTCTATCGTGCAGGTACTATCGGCCTTTTAGAGAACTCCTACGGTTACGTTAGTGGCAACTGGTGCTGGATAAGGAGTAACAGGCTCGACCTGCGATATGCCCTATCCCACGGCTGGCGCATCGCCATCTTCTTCATCACGATCCTCATCTACACATACGTCTATTTCAAGCTGAGAAAAGTCTTCAAGAATCTGAGAAGCATCTCGGCATCGCACGGCGGAACCCGCACGGGGAACGATAATCAAGCCCCGGCCCCCTCTGATATCGACAATGATACCCAAAAGATCCTCGTCAACCAGTCCATCTCAGTCAGCCACGAGATGCAGCCCATTCCCCGGACCCCGGATGTACTGGATGAATGCCGCGGCGAGAGCAGCAGCACCAACGACTACAACAGCAACAACGGCACAAGTCAGACAAGAGTCGTTATTCAAACGACTCAAATCAGCAACGACACGCCTTTCGAGGCTTCTCGCATGCCGGCTGCACCAAACGTTAAGAAGATGCTGCTCATGAACGGGTACCCGCTGGCCTATATTATTCTCTGGATTCCCGGCATTGCCAATAGGCTGGCTGAGTCTGTCGGTGGCTCGCCGCGCTGGCTCAGCGCGCTGCAAGCGTCGACGCAGTATATTGGCCTCATCAACGCCATGACGTACGGCATGAACGAGCAGATGCGACGAGGCGTGTGGAAGAGGCTGAAGGACCCCAGCGGGCGAGGCAATGCTTGAACGGTTGGGGAGACGAATGAGTAAGGCGTACATGGATGGGTGGATCACCTTCTGGCACTCTGGGCCATTAAGACGAGTGAATATCGGTCACAAAAAGGTCTTGGCTATCTACATGGAAGACTGGGTAACAAAGAATGTCAAATAAGTAGATAGTAGCCCTATTGTCAGACAATTGGCTCCACAGGGATCACAGCTGGCATCGTAGTAATTGATGAGAATTATCTTGAAGAGCTATCTGTAAGCATACGACAGTGCGCCTGCTGTTTTATACACAAAGGAAAGATTTGCTTTGTGGTGCAGAGCCCCTGTAATTGAAGCTGGTGCTCCAATATATGCAACCAGTGTTTGAGCTTTGACCTCAACGAAGTCAAAGCACAACGCATGCAGACACTCGACCTTAACACGCGGATTATAACGTTGGCTTCCGCGGACAAATATTCTGAGTGCAGATGTTGTGCAACTGGCTCTCTGTGCGACACCTCTTGGCCAGGTTGCTACCGGGCGTAATTAACTAGCTAGTGCGTGAGTGAGTGCACAGTACCCACCATAGGACCGATAGCGCAGGAGGCACGACGCAGAAACGATTGCTAAAACGTATTTCCCCCCTGGACATGCAAAAGCTTAACACTCGGCAGGGCGAGTCAGCTCCAAGCTGCACAATCATGCTACACAGCAAGTTGTAGAGGGCCTGTGAGCATCATGTCGCTCTTTCCGGGGTAGAAGACACGACAATGTTGGACAGGTGCGCATGGTAAGAAAACGTTAGAGGTATTATGCGTCCAATCCGCCATCGCAAGTAGCTCAATGAATGGCATGGCTACCAGCCGAACCCAGCACCCCTGCCACAGGCCCCGTTGCTGGCTGCATTCAGTTCGCGCTTTTGCGAGCCTTCGCGGCGTGGCGGCTATTGTGACGGGCACCGGCTGTTCAATTGACCTTCTGGAGTGTGCTGCGGCCCGATAAATTGCAGCTGTTTCAGGTTGTGGCGATGCCAGTGCACGCAACGTCAGCGTTGGTGGCTACGAGTCGAGCCCAAGGGTCCTGCCATAGGCCCTGCCGGTGGGGGCGGCATGACATGACACGAACGCCTACGTTTCTGGTACAATTCGCACAGCCCCTGACAAGGCTGCGAACTGCGCAGGTGGCTTGGCGCAGGGGTCTCTGAAGAATCGTCAAACTCGGATGATGGCCGATCATGCAACTACGCTAGCATCCAAGCTTAACCTGGCCCTATTTCGACCAATTGTCGTTTAGCATGGGCGTCCCAACCGGCGGACGACGGGCGACTTTCCTCTCGCGATCTTCCACTAGGTTACATACAATACTCGCATGTCTGGTGCGGTTCCGCTCGCTGATCTTCCCTATTAGGAAACGACGACGGCTTAGCACAATTGGGTCGACGCAGGCACCAAGAACTGCGCATGCTGCGGACAATGAGCCACGGTGCGGTGACATCGGACTCACCGCTGGGGTGGTTCTTGTAAAGCTCCTTATTTGTCGGACTTGTTTTTATGACTCGGTTAGCCAGTCCTATATTTTGGCACTAATTTGACCAAATCTGCGCCGTGCACCACATGGAACTTTGCGTTGTACTTCCCGTTCACTGGAGGACTAGTTGAGGATATGTCTTCTCCGTCGCCCCCGCCATTACTCTGCTCGTTTTATTCCAATCAGCACCTGCACTAGGGATCTACAAACTTCACTCGCTTTCGTATTGACATTCACTCGTCGCAATGAGGCTGACTCACGTCCTTGCCTTGGCTGCGACCTTCACGGGGTTGGCACGCACAATGCCTGGAAACGATACCTGCGCCTCGAGTTCCACCATCCACAAAGGCATTGGGGCAACACAGTATAACGTTACTACAATCACTAAGTCTGACTACACGACCTATTGTCCGGTATGCCTGGCTCGACGGTTTGGGCAACAACAGATCAACACTGTGAGCTAACATGCCTGTCGGAAGCACCCCACGACCATCCCTGTTGGGAATGTCACTTACACGGTCACCAAACCGACGACTTTGACAATCACCAGTACGTGCTCCACAACCTCATGGTTAAGCTCATGGGTAACTTCGCTAACCACTGGCGGGCAGATTGTCCCTGCACCATCGTATCTAAACCAGGCACAACCGTCCCGGAGTTCTCCAGCGTATGCAAATTTTCCGCTGTCATTGACATCCAGTCACGTATTGACACATCTCGCAGCAGTCTCGCCGTACGACCTCGGGTCCAGCTGCACCTTCTTCGACTTCCCGCCCTGGGACCATCTCGCCCTTGTCTAGCCGTCTCAATCGCACTAGCACTGTTGTAACTGCGTCTCAAACACGTCCCGGTACAATCTCACCTTCGGCAACACGGCGTCCATCCACCGTCCCGACTGCAGCTGCAGGCCGAGCCAGTACCAGTTTCGGCGCTCTTGCCCTCGCTGGGCTTGCGGCGTTTGTGATCTGAACTGGGTATTAAGACCTCGCCCCCAACAACTTCACTCGTTGTTCAATCAGACATTGATTCAACGCCAAATTTATCATTCTGAGCTATTATATTGGCATTATTTATAAACGCAGCTGATTGCTGATATTTTTGCACATGTTCTATGGTTGTTCAGTAACCTGAAATTTCAGCAAGAAGAAATCTGCAAGAGTCTTGACTTGGGTCGAATCGCCTCGAGTGCAACAAGCAACACCGGTGGTTCTTGGTCTATCTTATTTGATGTTATACCCGTGGAGGTCAGGATGCCGCGTCGGACCCCGGTGAACCTCTCTGGCTCCCGTAGCGCGGCCCAGAGAGTAACAACGACAACGGGAGCTGCGAGAGCCGTGACTCGGGCATTTTTGTTTTCCCCCAGGAGGCTCAAATAGAGCAGGCATCAAGTGGGCCTCCGCCGACAGTAACCAGCCGTATGTAAGATATTTGCCCACCATGGTGTCCCTAGCCAACCTTTAGCGGTTCGTCCGCAGAAATTCTATGATCTCGTAGTATCCGGCTAGATCACAAGTCTCTAGTTCTCAGGCATGGATATGCAGAGGGCAGTAGTCAGCGAGCTTTGTACTTTCGACGATTTTGAGGGATGTGCGCATGGGGTTCATAACTTGTTGAACTACCTCGTCGCTCGCGGTTAGATATTCCCGGCCAGGTGCTACAAATGACCGAGGACCGATGCCTGTGACACCATCACGCACAGTACCCACGGACAGCATAGTAGACCTCTGCTGAATTGCTCCATTGCGGCTGTGTTGCGCTGCGAACTTACGCAGTTCGCCCCTGACGGCCATCAGGCGAATGACAGGGCGTCCATTAACCAAGTTACCTTGCTTGGTTGCTTGAGATGATCTAATGGATCCCGAGAGTTGGGTGCGTATTAATAGAGTCTCATAAAAATTGCAACACCGCCCAGGGTGCTCTGACGCCATGCCGCCTGAAGCCACCTACGAGTCCCGCGAGCAACGACTGGGCTAAATCTCGTGAATATGCATTACCATGGGAATTCACTGAAGACTCCAAATAGCCGGGTTCAAGTTATTTTCGCTTGTGATCGACGTAAGCAGCCGTCGAACATTTGGACCAAACCAACGTGTCGTACATCAAGCCGAAGGACTCCCGTACATTCTCACATAGGCAAAGCAGTCGGGCAGTCGCGAGACTGGTGAACGTGGGTGCTGCGCCATCGTCCGGATCCAGAATGCGTTAAACAGAACCACCCAACGGGCGATGACCCATCGGCACACCCTGCACATTGCCGACTCGGCGAGAAGATGCGTCGATCATATCCGATTTATTTCCGTCGGGCTTTAGCCGTTTGTTTGTACCTAGACGTTGACAGAAAATGAATGACTACAACCTGAAGAGTGTTGCTTCACATGGTGTACTCCGCCAATAAGATTCAGCACGGGGGCAAGCCAGTGAGGGTTGGTGCGCTGACATGTTTTGGGCACCCGGGTGCCCATGTATCAGTCGCCCCTGGGCGTCACGAGATTCGATTAGCTTGGCGCCGCGCCTCATGATGAGACGACGGGTCCAGAAAGTTGGTGGAGAGCAAGGCTTAGCAAATGCCAAAGCCAAGCAAACGCCAAATCGAGGTGGCCCTTGGACGTCAGGGGCGTTCTGCAACCGAACGCGCGTCAAACAATGTCGGCAACAGGACTCGTTCCTATTCCGCTTCTCGACGTTAAATTAGCTGCTGTAATTTACGGCTTAGACGCGTACCATATGAAGGCCTGGAACGCGTCTCGCGACTTCGAAACACCGGCTCCCACTCTCGCTTCGAACATGGCAGCACACAAAATCGCAACGCTCCTGAATCAGCCCCTTTCAAATCTCTTGCCGTACGGCTCTTTGGTTCTATGCTCGGCTCTTCTTGTAATCGTGCTCATATCCAATGGATTGGAGCGCTGGATATTCCAGAAGATATATGGTAACACGTGGACTACTCTCGGGCATTGCGAGAATGAGAGGCGTCGGCGTTCATTCACCTACTTCCATGTTGGTGTCATAATCATGGTCACACTTTTGGTTGTCGGAGCTTATCCGACTTTTGACTTTCTGGTTGGGAGAGCGAGCCTTTCTGCCCTCCTATTTCCGATACAGTATCACATTCGCATTACTGTCGGCGATGCTTTATTCACCCTGTCCCAGGTCTATAGCGCATATTACCTTTTCGAGCTTTGCTTCCGCACCAGGTTCGCAAGTGGGATAAGCATAGCACACCATATCGGCCTCTTGGTCATCATACAGACGGCTCTAGCTCTATTCGCCAACTTCCAGGAGCATCCGGAAGCGACAATGGAGTTTTACATGTGTCTGGTCTGGGGTATCTCTACCAACTCGGCTTACTCGGCGACGCGCGGTTGACTAACTAGTCAGGACAGGCTCTTTTGACATCATCGTAGAACTACCTCTCTACAGCGCGATGATTGTGTGGCGAATAAAAAATGACGAACACCGAATGGTAGCCCGCATAGCATATTGCTGCTCAGTTTGGGGGCTATTAGGAGCGATCGTCGAGACCGCTGTCACCATCTACCTCCTAAGCCGATCGTGGTCTCACTGGGGAATTACGTGGCGAATCGTAACACCGATGGTGTTCACGCTCTGGGTTTCAACGCAGCTGTACAGTGCCTACAGGCTTTTCGGCATGGCTCGTCAGAAGCAGTGGGAAGGCCGGCAGCATAGAGGGTAGTGCAACCAATAGCCACATGCCCAGCTATTTCGTTGTTGGCAAAGTGGTAAGTTTACAGGCGCATGGCACCACTGCATTGCAGCAGATGGGCACGAGGATCTTACAAGAACTCGACACACGGTGTACATAAATTTCAAGGAAGCCGGAAGATACACGATCACTGTATATTCACAGGTGTTGACTGCTTTACAGCGAAGCACGTTGTTCAGAGTTGCTTAACTTGAGCTCACATGAAATAAACGATGAAGTGTACTTTCTATTTCGCTTGCTTCGACAGGCCTATCATCATCATCTGCTTAGCGGTCCCTGTCCAAGAAGATGCCAGTCTGTTCGAGTTGGCCAGTGCCGTTGTGGCAAGTCCCAAGC